CCCCCCCCCCCCCCCCCCCCCCCCCCCCCCCCCCCCCCAGGAAAAGGCTACTTAAGATCACTTTCTTAGTGGGCATTGGACTGAGCACTCTAGAACCCCTGGGTGGGTTCATCTTGGTGCCCTATGGGGAGCCAAGTGCCACTGTCTCAGCATTTTGGTGTGCAGTGGCTGGTGTTCCTGTACCCCGAGGGGTTAAGTGCTACACTGGTGTCAAGGCTGAAGGTTAGGAGTCAGTTACTGAAGGGCGTGGTGAAAGGAAACAGAGGTGGCCCCTTCCGTTGGGTGTAGAGGTTTTTTTTTTTCTTTTATAACTCAAAGGACTATAGAGCCAGGGGATCAATGTTCCCTTGTCCTGCTCACTGTTTCTAAGGTCAGGAGAAGGTTAAAGTTCAGGGGGCTACTGGACAGTTCCTGGTAAACAGAAGCCAGGACTCAAGGGGTGTGCTCCCCCCGCCCCTGCACACACCAACCTTGCCATGGAAGGAACATGAAGAGACGAACGTGATTCTAGGGTCCTCTGGCTCCAGAATGCTGATCACAGAGCTGTCCACAGTCCATTTGGCAGTAATGGTGTCAGGATTCCCAGAGTCGATGACCCTCACCTCCCACCCCCCATGTGGCCTTGGCAGGAGAGAGGTCACTGTGCACAGCTCACTGGCCCCCCAGCTGTGCTCCCATCTCTTGAAGCTGAGACATCGGTGAGCAGCTAACCGAGTGTTGCGCATCTCCCCTGGCCTTTTCACATTTGGAAGCTTTTGATTAAACCAGTTTCCCTTAGTGTTGCTGGGGAGTGGGATCCATCACTGTATCTGAGCTGGTTCCCGGAGAGGATGTTTTACTAATTCAGACACTTAGGTGCATTGTCTGGGGCCTGGAATTTCTCATTCTTCTTCTTCTTCTTTTTTTTAAAGTATTTTAAAGGCTTTTTTGGGGCCTGTGTAGATTTATAGCTGGGTGTCTGCCTCCATGTAGCGGGTTCTGTCTTGGCATGTTTATGACTGCAAGGCGACAGTGGAGGGTGTGTGCAGAGGCCTTTTCTCTTAACCAGTTCCCGGGGAACGAGCATTAGGTTGACTTCTCTAATTTGGAATGAAGACACAGGGGGTCATTTCGTTCTCTGGGGTCCATGCGAATGTTTGAAGATAGATAGGGCTGCCATGGTCGACCTGCCTGGCTCTGAACAATGCAGGAGGGAGACCTCAGGCCTCCTTTTGTAGAATGCCTCTACAGAGTTTCTTAGGTTGAGTTCTGCAGCACATGTTTGTAGGTCATGTTAGTGTTTCTTTATGGATACTTACTTGGCTAGAGTGAAAAAACTAACTAAATAAAAATTCTAAAATTAATCTGTTAGGAGTCTCTGCGCATCGAAAACCATACAGATGGAGGGAGGTGTTTTTGAAATTCTAGGGGAAGATAATGGGGCCATAAGAGTTGATTTTTCAAAGCCATTTGTATTATACATCTTCCTGCTGCACATTTTTTCTGAGCTTAGAGGGTGAATTTAGTAACTGACATTGGATTTAGTTACAGTGACCATTTATTTATCATCTATACTGTGCCCTATTAGCCTCTTTGGCATATGTTATTTAATTTAGCCCTAATGGGCATCTTGTGTGGTAGGCTAATTATTATATCTACATTTGATAGTGGATTGAATTCTGTGTTCTATTAGAACGTAAGCTCCAGTGCCTAGCACTTAATGTGTCTGTGGAGTGAATACATTAGGAAAGTTAGGTTCACTAAAATTTGATTATTAATGAGTGTAGGGAGAGAGTTAAATCTGGAGAGGGCCTGATGGAGCTTTACCATTAAGGCGACCTTGATCTGCCGGGGAGACGAGGGGATGGATGGGAATGGAGATGGACAAGAAGGAGCAAGAGTGGGCTGCCCACCTGCTAATGAGAGGACCTTGGAACTTGGGAAGTGTGGACACTGGCGGGATCTTTGTAGAAAGTCCTCACACATATTATCTCATCAAGTCCCCCAGTCATCTGAAAAGAGATGGAAGACAATAAATCACAGCTTTAGATGCTTGGACGAGCCACTGCATGGTATTCCTAGGAGGAAGGTGACTGACAGTATGCGGTCGCTAGGACAACGTCCTGAAACTGTGCAGAAAGTCCATTTCCCAGCTGTTCCAATTTGGGCTGTATTAACATATGTACATCCTGGGAACCACTAAACCGAAACTTGAGCTCCCGGAAGTCTGGGAACCTCTATCCCTAGGGTCATCATAGATTCATGAGAGTTCTGCAATGGGGAGATTTGGGGTTCTGATCCAGCACTTACTTCATGGAGCAGAGGAGAAAATAGACCTAAGGAGATGAGTCCCATCCAGGGCCACACCCAGAGTTAGACACTGATGTTGTATTTCCAGTATCTATTATACTCCTGCAATTCAGGGGTGTCACTCAGATGATCTCCTGTTGGAGGTGGGTTAGTTCATCTCATTCACGTGGCTAACTTGCCAGGAGTCTCGGTGATGACCAGTCCAGGCAGCCAGGGGCTCTGCATCTTGCATCCAGTTGTGACAGATACAGATGGCATTTTTAAAATTATTATTAGTCACCCCAACTGGTGGAACCCTGCACCCACTAAAATTTTCAGTTTTTTATTTTGATGTTAAAACAAAATCAAAGCCAACACACACAGCCTAAATTCAGCCTTCAGAGAAAGATGCTTATTTCCTTAATTTTTGGACACTATGTGTAAGACTCTCGGTCCTTACTCTGAGCATTTGAAACTGATGGGATCCCCACACGTGGCCATATGTGTTCATTTTCGCACACACTAAGCATTCAGCATGGACTCTATTGTGCCTGACCCTGTGCTTTGCATCGCAGACAGGAGGAACCTGGGTGGCGAGTAGTGAGTGCCGTGATAAGGAGATAGATCCAGCCTTAGAGGACTTCAGAAGAGGGAGCAATAGCTCCTTGCTGGGACCCCAAGCAGATATTTTGAATTTTGGAGAAGGTTGTGGGACCTTGGAGAATGGTTATAACTTGCCACAGGGAACTTAGGAGTAGAGAGGAATTCCAGGGGAAAGGACCTGTATCCAGAAAGATGTGGAAACCTGGGGATTAGTGGGTTTTGAGTCAAGATGAATTACACAAAACCTGGAGGGGAAGGAGTACAGGACAGAGCTTTCAGGGTGGTCCCTGGGTGTGTGGCGTTCTGTTTGCAGACACAGCATCAGGACAGTGGAGGCCAGGGAGCCCACACTTAGTTTTGAATTATGTGTGCAATTCTTATTAATAAGATTTTGGGAATATTTCTGGGCAGCAGTTTTTATGCATGTAGCTCTGCTTTGCCTGTTTTTCTGAAGTTTGAAATAGCTTGATATAGGATTGTTCTCTGTATCCTGGTCATATCAGAATGAAACTGGCTTATGGCCACTGAAATCCTGAAGTCCCCTCAGCCTGTGGCAAGCTCAGGCTTCTAGGTGATAGACTGAATGCCTAAGATACACAGAGAGACAGACTCCAGCATCCTTAGACATCCAGTGGCCTGGACCATGAAGCTTGCACAGATTTAAAATTGTCTTCCTGGATAAATGTGGAGTGTGGCTTGCTTCAGCATCTTATTGAACACTACTTCAGATAACCTGGTTATTAACTTGTGCTCTCCTCTTGTCATTTCTTGCAGATGGTCACAAGAACAAAGAAAATATTTGTAGGCGGATTATCTGCGAACACAGTAGTGGAAGATGTAAAGCAATATTTTGAGCAGTTTGGCAAGGTAAGCACTGCATGGGGTTGGATATTACAGGCCAGAGGTAGCCTAACCGGTCCTTAGGAGAGGCCGCTGTGGCCCCTGCCTCTGCCACAGCTATGTCCTGAAGACTGTCCTCCTTGAATTTGGCCATCATGATTTAAGTGAAATTCTGCAGGAGCCGCAATGGAAGAGTCTGCTTGTGGTCAGCACAGAGCCTCACATGCCAGAAGGAGCAGACAGAGTGGCCTTTCAATGTGGCTTTACAGGCATTTGCTGCCCACGTGGGGCCTGGATTGGGGAGAGAGGCGGGGCTGTGACTCACAGAGCAGGGGCTTCCTCCTTCTGTGCGTTTCTGGCAAAGGTGTTGAGAGATGCTGCTCCCTGGGGCACTTGGCAGCAGCATTCTCCCTGTTAAATGCCCAAGGAGACTTGGAAGAGGTGCCAGTCCGTACCTGTCAGCATTCTCTGACCTGCGTGTCTGTGAGACAGCAGCAAAATGATGGCCTGAGCTTTGCTGCTGGTGCAGGCCGGGGTCAGTTTCCCCCAGTCAGCTAGGAAACAGAGTGGGAAGGTGCACATGCGACAGATGGAGTAGCAGACAGACAGGATGAGCACCCAAGGGTGTTGTTCTCATGCCTCTCGCTAGTTGGCTGGGGGAGGCAGTGAATGAGTTCCTCAGATGGCCTTGTTGCCCCAGGGGTCTCTTTTGTAGTCTTCCTCCTCTGGCTTCTGTGGAAATGTCAGGGCCAAGGAGACTGGCAGGTGAGTAACTGAGCTGGCCTTCTGCTTCCTGCAACTCTGAGTCACTGTGGGCATTGTTGTGGGAGGCCAGGTGTGTGACCATCTCCTGAACAAGTCTGCCTCTTCTCTCTAAAAGGGCTGGCCTGGCAGAGCTGCTGTGGCATTCTGAGAGGACATGGCGGTATTATAACCCCTGTGGCTCATTTACTCCCACGGTGACTGTTATACTTACCACGGGTAGGACACGGACACTGTCGCCCACTGGCCAGCCTGAAGGTTCTGTGCTTTTTATTTGTTTGCCCAAGGCAATGGGCAGCTATGACTCCATTCCCAGATGAGGGCCATGACCTTTAGTTAACCTTGAAATGGAGATTTTCCTGTCTCCGTTGTTAATCAACTTCTGCATGGAGACCAAGCAACAAGGAGAACCAGCTCCTTCCAGCCCAGACGTGTATTTGAAATGGCACTGAATCGGCCATCCAGGAGGGTTTCGAAAGAGGTCCTCCCTACACCCCTTCTGGAATTGCTAGTTGGGGGCTGACTCATTCTGGCTGGTTCTAGGAATAGCTAAGGGTGTTGGTGATCATGCATGTTACGGTGCTTCTCTCCCCAAGACTGATTTAAAGCACCAAAGGGGTTTTGTTCATCACTTGGCCCCACCCTGCCGATGGAGAGGAATTGGAAGTAATTAAATGAGACAGGTCCATTTTGCATGATGGAAAGCTCTGGAGGATGAGCCCTTTTTGCTGCCTTTAAAACAAGTCCAGGGGTAGTGTTTGCAAACACGAGGTGGGATTTCTTTGTCGAGCTATAACCTGCCTTGGAATCTCATGGGCCTGCAGGTGTCAGGGAAGTTGCCGTTGCCCAGATGGGTGTTTAGAGTGTTCCAGACAGGCTCGAACTTGCCAGCACCCGGTACATCTCTGCACGTCCCTGATGCCCAGTTTCTTCCTCACTTTATTCTCTTCCTTTCTCCCTTTCTCTCTTTCTGTTGTTTTTCATTAACACTTATAATTGTGATTCAGGATGCCAGCAGTGGGGGTGCTCTGCAGGCCGTGGCCATGCCCATGGCAGCTTCCATCGCTGCACTGAGAACAGTTCTCCTTTTGTCTGGGAAGCAGTCACAGACCATCTTCCCTGGCATAGCACTCTCTGGGTCTGATGCCGCCGCCCAGTTAATTTTGCACTAAGGTTTGTGGATTCCGGCAGGATGTAGAAACTTATCAAGTGTTTCATTAAAGGACTAAGGAGGCTTTTGAATGTACCAGAATCATAACAGTCTCCGCTCACATGTTAGTAGCTTGTTTTGTACATATGCTCTGTGCATTATCTGAGTCTGTCTTCAGAAGAGCTCATTTCTCCTTTGCTGGTGGCTAATATTGCATCTCTGGCCCCTTGGGCAGGGCTCACCAACTCTCAGGATTCTGGTGTAATTCATTTGAATCCAGGATGATCAAAGTACGGAGAGTCTGCTGCTAGGCCTTAAGGGCCACTAGTAAATCCAGCAGCGGAGAAGAGAGGTAACAGATAAATTGAGAAACGGACTCTTCCTCTTGGCAGTTTATATTCTGGGTGAAGGAAGCCCCTTGTGTGGGCCCTCACCTGCAGTGTACTCACATTCGTGCGTGAACACGGGCACACATGCACATGTGAAGTTGTTTTGGGCCACCTTCAAACCAACTGCAAATTAGTGAGGTGCAATTTTATTATTGATAATGAGTGCTCATTAAGTGTTAGATTCTGGGCCAGGCCATTCACTTATATTATCTTGTTGAATTTTTTCCTGCGGGAGGCTGCTGATTGTATTCTCAGGTTGCAGATTGTTAAATGGGGTCTTGGTGGGCTTTTGTCTTTGACTCAGGTCATAACCTCCTGAGTTGGGTGCAGACCCCCTGTCCCTAGGCATGTCTGACAACAGAACCTGAACTCTGTGCCTGGTGCCATCTGCTGATCAGTCTTCAGGAAAGACTTAGGGCCGGGAGGTGGCTTAGGAGAGGAAAAGGTGGCGTCCCTTTGGCAGGCCAAGGTCTGTGTGTATTCATGGGTGTCACCCAGCCCATTTGGCAAGGGTGGACAGAGTAAGTCTCAGCAAGGTCACCCAGGTGAAGCAGTGCAAGCCCAAAATTCCTCTTCCTCCAAGTCCAGAACTCCACAGGCTCCATGCAAGGTGTGCCATTTTTTAGGGTCTCTCATCGTCATTCCCCTCTCCTCTTCCTCTTCCCATCCTGCCTGAGGTGGCAGCTGCTCCAACTGTTTATTCAGGTGGCAGTCAAGATGGGTAAGACTGCATCAAGGGGCTGAGCTAAGGGAGTTTAAATATGTCATTACTGGTGAGTGGAGTGGGTCTAGAATGACACACCGAGAGCTCGAAATAACTCAAATTGGAGGCTTCCTTTTGTGCTGTTTCCCACCTTCCTGCCAGAATATTTTACCCCTCCGGTTGGAGACGTCATTACTTATTATGTTTAAGGTGAGGTCGTGCAGTGGCCATTGGCATGAGGACTGTACTAACTTAGATGGCTGTCCTTCACCCTGGGGAGCTGTTCAGGTGGTGTCCTAGGAGAAGGGTCACGTAGGAGGTGTTCCAGGCCTTCGCACTGGGCCTGACAGTGGGGTGACCCTTGCATGACACGTTAACAGGTTATTTCTTTGTTGGCCTCAGTTCCTCTTCTGAAAAAAATTGTAAAGGGCTGGAGAGTAAATAGTTCTGGCTTAGCAAACCTTCTGGTCCTTGTTGCAGCTCTTCACTCCTGCTCTCCTAGGGTGAAAACAGCTGTAGCCATCAAGTAATCAGTTGGATGTGCTTGTCTTCCAATAAAACTTTATTTATAAAAAACAGATGGTGGGTTGGGTTTGGCCTGTGGGCCATAGTTTGCTGACCTCGGGACTGAGTTATTGCTAAGATATTTTAACCTTGAGAAGTCAGTAATACAGAAAGTTTAAATATAAATAGGTTATAATTCAACGTATCTATAGATGGTAACAAAAACAATACATGATCAACAGTGGTGAGCATGGCATGTAATAAGCAAAACAGACTTAACTATGTTAGGATTTATTTTCAGACTTCATGATACAGGGACAGTGAAGGGATTCTTTATTTGGAAAAAGCCACTATTTATAAACTGGAATCCTCATCCTGTGAGTAAGACCCAGAAAAACTGCCGTAGAGTACTTCCATCTCCCTGTTTCGTGTGCTAGATTGAAATCAACAGAACTCAGGACTATGAGGATCAGATTTTACTATGAAGATGCTTTGAGCGTGTGTTCATGTTTCTAAATTTTAGTGACGTGTGCTTAGGTGCTGAGTTTTGGAATGTGTTTTAAAATGTGCTTCTCGGGGGTGTCAAGGGAGGTAGGTGGCATGCCTGCTATGTAGGCGATGAGAAGGGGGAGTTGTCCTGCATTGTGCTGGGTAGGGCCCAGATGGTCACTCTTTTTTATACAGCCAACCCCCTTTCCTCTGCCATTGTTTATAAAACCCGGGCTCCCACTTGGGCACCAAGCAGCCTCTCACAGGGAGCAGGTTTTATTCATTTGTCAAAAACATTGATCTACAGTAATTTATTTAACTGCCTTGGGTTCTTAGTGGATGTTATCTGTGATCATGATTTCATACGTTCAGGAATGATGTATACAGGCCATTCCAAAAAATGGCAGGTAAACGATGCTCTGATGTGCCCACGCAGACCCAGGCAATGAATCGGCCTGTTCTCCACACAGAGCCCAGCTTGGTGATTAAAATGCACTGGATCAGAGAGACTCCATGTCCACTGGTTTGCCGCTTCTCCCCTGCAGGCCCCTCCTCCAAGTACTGGTGTCTTCCATCCTCACTTATAGGATTTGGAGATCAGAAAGAGGCCTTTACACCTAATGGATCCTCCGCCTCGTCCCGATGGAGTGGTTCCACACCTTTCAGCGGCTCCCGGCAATGATCAGGCTGCCTGGGCGCTGGACCCGCTAGGTGTTGCCGCTCCACAGAGCTCCCGTGAAAGCCAGGCAGCCCGCGTCCGGAGGCTTCCAATTATACTTCACATGGCGAACTGTGTAATTAGTTTGGAAGACTTATGCTTAGTCATTGGTTTATCCTAATCGGCTTTGGCTTTCCCCAACAACAAAGTGAGCTTATTTTGCTAAGCTGAAACGACTCTGCACCCTTTGTCCTGCCTTTTATTGTCTCATTCCTTTCATTCTGTTTTACTGCCAGAGTTCTGTTTCATTAGGCCTACAAGTCATTTCCAATTCAGTGGGCTGCTACAATCCGGCCTTTATCACTGGCTGCC